CGGCGGTAAACTGGAAGTTCTCAAGGCTGATCTCACGCACGGCTTCGGTGGACACAAAAAACACAGTGAGGCCAGAGGCAGTTACTTGCTACGTTAACCGTGGTTCTATAGAAAAAAATAACCAATCAGTAAACGATAAATTCAAGCGGACTTACGACTAGGTCACTTGATGCCACGGTACAGATAATTTCAAATGTGGTGGTACAGAATGACGAGTAAAATTGTGATACAGACAAACCAAAACATACGCGTACAGTTATAAACACGGAAAAAAACAATAGTAAGAAGTTTCTGAATAACTAATTGTTTAACACTGGTATTCCGTCATTTGGCATTAAATAATCAGTGTAGCGCAGTCAATGGATATTGCCATATTTAGACTACCAAAATATTTATAGTAGTCAAATTGCAAATGCTGAAACATTCGAATTCTCTTTCGGACAATTTACAGTCTCGACAGTCTCCTTTCTGTATAACTGTCAACTCAACCCATCATTTTGCGATGACACCACGGCTTCCTACCCTACTGCACGACTCGCCATGCCCGAACCACCATCAGTCGTGATCGTAGTGGTTTATGTCATTCTACTCTGATTTAGAACACATTTTTTCCTGGGTAATATCAACCACGTTCAATTCAATGCTTTCGAAACCTCTCTTCTTTCAATTTCTCAAAAACACCATTAATTTTCACACCCCACCCGTTATTTTATTCCACCTAACTGCATTGGAAAAAACCCGTTTCCCTTCTTGGATTGCACATAACTTCTTTATGCTGGTCCTCTTTTATAGTTCAGCTTGCTTCTCGTGCAGCGCACAAGGTTGTTTTTGATTCAGGCCAGACGCTTATTCGTCCCAGTTCATCCATTGGAAAATGCTCAAGTCCCCTCTGCTCTTGAAAACTGCAGTTCTCGCTTTTTTCGTTTTTTCATCAAAAAATCAATTTGTGGACTGCTCTCGCACTTTCCTCCAACTTGCACTCTTTAAACGCGAACTCAATAACTGGATCTTACGTGAATGTTGCCATACTCTCTTTTTTACAGTATGCACTTTGACTATGGGGATTTCCTCAACTGTAACTCACCGGTGTAATAAAAGGTCGCGGATAACAACAAGCAACTATAAGATGATTTCAGTGCTCCTGATTTATTATTGACTGACTCTCTTACTTTATACGGCAAATGCATATTTGACAACAAATGAGCTATTCTGAACGAATGTAATAGGTACACGCTGGCTACCAAAAAACGTTGGACCACAATGATATTACAAAAATGACTCGATCGCCTACGTTTAAAGAGAGTTGCTAATAGTCACTGACGGTATGAAGCAACTTATTGGGTACCAGCTTAGATTTCAATCAAATGTCTGTATTTGACATGATGCTGGGTTGGAAGTGTCCCTCAAGTAAATTGAAAATACCTTGCTTAATCTCATCAAAAGCTCCGTGAAATTTCGACACCACATATTATTTACGAAATCCAGTTAGGCATGAAAACATCCGCTGGGAATTCACAATTGACAAGCCATAGTTATCCAAAACCATGAAAGGTGGTTATATAAAGACTGGTTTATTACACCCCAGTGCGTGATGCAAACCGGTAACCTAAGCCCCGGGACTTGGAGTGATGAACCACACAAGGCCCCGTAGGATAGACTTGGTACTGAACCTGACGACTGCAAAGCTGCCTACCACCAAATTTGGGTGGCGGTGGCGGGGCTCGAAACTCGGACCATAGGGTCCAAAACACGCCTGGTACAGCGACTAAACCACTGTCCACCACCACCCTGATCACGAGCTGTCACGCGTCGTCATGAGACCACCTCCAGCAGCAGCACCTCAACAGCGCAGATCTGATTTCCAAATCATCAAACTTCGATGGAACAGAAAGAGCCGCAAAATAGTAGCCAGAGGATATAATAAATGTGACCAACAATCTGGCACGCGAAATACATCAACACAATCCACAGGAACTGATCATGCAACGAAATAACCGGTGAAACTTCGTGACTACGGCTAGAAATGACCGAATTAAAGCAGCCAATATTGTACACATCCCACTTTTCTACTTTCGCAAACTGAAATTAACTTGATGTCAAGCATTCAACTTGTCGGAAAAAACTTGAGGCCAAATTATTGTACCAACCGGAAAACTCTTCATTGATTTTAACCAACCTTTTTGGTTGTCAAGAGCGGGAACACACCGTCGCNGGACCGAAAACAGCCAGTGTACCTGTTCCTGTTCGATCTGGGCGTGCTATTCCACTGGCTAAGATGTACCGGAGTAGATTCAAATAACCTTGCTCATCATACACATGTGGAGGAAAAAATGAGAACTCCGTGACAGGTGTGGATTCTTTCTTCGTTCTGTGAAAAGGGTATTAGATGATCAGAACAAATAAAAGTAATAAGGGTATAAATTTTGCTATGAGGCATATTCGAACAGATGGACACGTGTCAATACATGCAGCACAGTGCACGATCTGAAAAGTACAACATGAAGCTCATGTGCAAACAGACAAGCGTGACCTGCTACCCTAACTGGCGGTCTATTCAAAGTTTTCTTTTAATAAAAGCGAATCAGAATCCATGCAAATAGGCCAGGTTATGCGGCATTCATTTTGCAGTTTACAAACCAAGGCATTAAACAAACCGTATATGCTGCAAGAGCGTAGTGCGCGATTAATGAACATCGCAATATACGGAACAAAGAGAACCTGAAATAAAAGGCTAGCACTGTAGAGCTAGTTCTGACGAATCTACTGATTCGCCAAAGAAAGGAATGGAGTCACACTGTTGGTGGGACCAGACAGGAGTGAAACGGGGGTATAGCGCTTCCCAGGTCTTTAATTTAAACATTCATCGCTCTGTATACGGTGAAATTCACCTAAATTTCTCGAGGCTATCAAATCAATCAAAAAGTTGTTAAAAAAATTGCAATAAATGTTGCAATAAAGGTGAAGAACAGAATCTGCAATCAGAGAATCTAACTCAGTATGCGCGACCAGATGTGAGCAGCAACAGGAAGCATCAAGCTGATTTAAACCATGATCGTGTAATAACAAAGTGGACCAAAAGTTAGCAGTCGGACGGCAAGTCAGAACCAAACTGACAGTAAGTGCAAGACGACGCGTGAGCATTGATCTAATTGCGTCAAAGGATGTGAATGCATGCAAACTTGTTTGTAATAATCAAGAGTTATCGACCAGTCACGAGATACCGTCAGGAAATTAAGAAATGCAATAACTGCAAGGATGGAAGATGAGACATGTGACAGGAAGTACACCAAATCGGAAGTAGCAGAATGTGTAACTGGTGAGTGGTTAGTCGAAAAAGATCCAAGCGATTGATAACCCGACTAAAAACAGTCATGGAGAATAGTCAAGAGAAGCCATGAATCATTACCATCCCACGACGTGTATTCCATCACTAACAGCCTTTACAAAAGGACCGGAGCAAGTCGCTGAATTAAGACCGACATCCTCGAGGTCTACTACAAATGATTTTAAAGTGTCTCCCAACAGGTTTATTTAATTCGTGAAAAAGCTTGGTGATGATCCGAGAGTTATTCATATCAGTTATTTTGATTCCGGTCGTTATAGATGGACAGCAGGAGGGTAAGCTCGTATGTAGCGATGACTTTCTGTTTACTCATGACAACCGGCCTTGAAGCGGTGGGTCACATAACGTCTGTGGCGAGGACGGGTTTCAATTACGAACCAATCGAGAAGGCTTTAATAGGCAAAAAAACGGCATAGTGACTGCAGTGCACAGAAAATAAAAACGCATTAAATACGAGAAAGAATAATTTTGCGACATCAATCACAGCCTCTTTGAATGTGAACTATAGGTCTCGTCAATCGTTAAGTCTCCCAAATTCGTAGATTATCCGGGAGTTGCCCGTAGTCGTGAATCGATCCGCGGCTAGTTTACAGTGTTCATGGAGAGGGGAAGGATGTTGCATTTGGGCACTTTCAAAGGCAGTGTAAGATGGGGATTAATCGCGGAGCAAGACAACAATCACTCTTCCATCTGTAAAGCGAAGATGAATGTACTGCAGATTTCAGTTAGTGAGCCCAATTTATTCGTGCCCTACGGCTTCTGGTGAGGTGAACTTGTTCCGAGTTTGTGATTCTTGAAGTTCTCGCTCGGTAAGCCTCCGGACGAAGACGATTAGTCAGATAGTGCACTCAACCGGGTGGTCAGACGGTTCCACAATAGCGAACATTCCATAACACCTCGGAGGCCATAAAGAGACTGAGTTTTCATAAATTTCCTGAAAACCTTTCTTTCCTACTGCACTATTGTGCATTGATGCGTTTCATTCGGTTCGGAAATTGGAGGGGCGACTGTTCTCAGTTCACACACTAGCGGCCATAACGCTGTACCCTAGGAAACTATGTAAGCGTACATGCTGAAAACCCAGGGAATCGTGCTTCTCCTTTCTGCACCACCCTGAGCTTTCCCCTGCTGGTTGGTGTTTCTAAACTATAGCGTTCCCATTGTTTCTTGGGTCCGAGTATGAGTATGAACCTCAGTAGTAATAAATGTCGGAATGGAAAACTGCATACTCTCAGGGGCTGGGTAATTTGTGTAGATGAGCATTCTGTTCGTAGGAAAGCTTCAAAACCACCAATGTTTGCAGCATAGCGAGATATTCACTAGATAATGAGATAAGTGGAACCGAATAGGTGCGTAATCGTTGACGCCTGCTTGAGCAGATACATAGGACAGTTTTGCTATCGCCCAACTCAATACCATGTCTATCCTATGGGTTTATGTGATCCTAGGGCTTAGAGTGGCCGGTTATCATGAGTAAACAGCGATAGCTATACCGTCTTCCATCCAACTGGGGCTTCATGTGATCCACTCCAGGGTCTAAGGCTTGGACCGAACAAAGGGCCTTGGTGGCGATGGGGCTCACCCTCTTCCGTTGTTTACTACATGATAGTGGGCCGAAAAAACCGACAGTTTGAAGAACGCCACACAAGGTCCGATACAAGGATAAAAAGTGACTGAAACGTAAACATCAGGAGAGGAATCATGAATAGAACACTCATGCTTGGCTTACTTATCCGTTGATCCATTTACAATATCACCAGCTTGTTTCTCGGCTTGAACGTCTGACATATTAGACTGCAAGTCAAAATAAATGAATGTTAGGGAAATGGCGTAAACACAGAAAGTCAAAGGATAAGCATACCGTAATGATAATGACCAGGCAGAGTCTGCCGTTAGTAGCACTTGATCACAAAATCCGGTAAACAAACGCCAAATAATACCTTGGAAAATGAAAGATAAGTACCCCGAAAATTCCTGTTTGGTTCACTAATATGAAGACTATGCGATAGACCGGAACAGCGCTAGCAGCCATCACAAGAAACAGCTTATTGGGAAATAACCGGTATTCCATGTGCCCCCTGTCGCATACACAACGTGAAACGATGCAGATAAGTACCACAGACAGGCGCAACACAGATCCAAGGGAGGGTTACTTCGTTTGATGATGTCCACATTTTCGCATATGCTCGCATTTAACTGTTGGTGTACATCTATGTGATAAGTTAATAGGGATGAAATACCCGTAGATCGTGGCCAAATGTTGCATGACAGTGATTGATATGGCTGGAAGTCGTAGACAGTGGCGTTCGTGCATCTCAATTAATTTGCAACATTAATCTACCGAAATTCCCAATTTTCTGTTCGACTCCACTTTCAACCTTTCTGTCTTTCTCCTAATGCTCATCCAAACGGGAAGCCAAAAGACAGCAACCAAAGCCGGCGCACGAACGTGCATGGTTAACGGTTGTTCGAAGTGAACTAAATTATCAGATCCGTCACCTAGCTTGATAGTAAATCGTAACCAAACCCAAATCACGCAACCCACTTGCCCACCGCCTTGTTTCAGTGACTCATTCCAACTCCTATGTTTCATTTTGTTGACATGATTGTATAAATTTGCGCTTACAGCTGGATAAGAGCAAGCAACATTGATGGCTGATATTAATTATGCCAAAATACACCTCCTCGTGTTGAATAAATGGATAAAGGGGAACGAATTATTCAGGATTATGTGCGTATCTAAGGAAGCGCCTTGATTAGCCTTCATACATACACAAGGGACGTTCGGATCTCTCTAGGTGTAGATTATCGAAGGACCTATCTAAAATTTGAAGCAATGATTTCCCCGAATAAATTTGAAAAAGGCCAGTAGATGCAAGATGTCTGCTGCAGTGAAATCTTCGCATATCATCAGTTACTTCATACGAATTACAAATGGACATTATATATGTCTATAGAGTATGGTGACAAATTGATTCAAAGGTGAGATTCATACAACTTGTTCACAAGACTGTAACTAGTTTACCAACACTTTATTTAGATAATGAATTTCAACTTTTGTTCTTGATAATCGTCAGTATTGTTTAATCGGCTTATTAACTTCCTGTCTTCACATGTCCACGTGTTCTAACTTTCCCTCTCCGCCTTATACCTGGTGAAACACATTAACACGTCATCCTCACCCATTTACGAACCATTATCACCCGTCTGTATTCGGTTTAGGAGAAAAAAGTGTTGGTAAACTAGTTACTCCGTCTTGTGAACAAGTTGTATGAATCTCACCTTTGAATCAATTTTTCACTATATTCCATAAACATATACAATGTCCATTTGTAATTCGTATGAAGTAACTGATGATATGCGAAGATGTCACTGCAGCAGACATCTTGCATAACACTACTGGCCTTTTTCAAATATCTAAAATTATCGGAAGAGAATGCAAGAAGACTGATAGCTTATAACGATATAGTGGAATTTTATTAAACGCACGAACTAAATACGCATAATCATTCTACCTGATCAGTGATTGAAACTACCAAAGACAAAATAAAGTTGAGGGAAGAGCTGAGGAGTACGAAATAAATGTCGCAATAGCGTCAAACTCATAAGTGAAAGTTGGATCAATGATCCAGTGCTTGACCAAGACAAATGAAAGGTTAGCTTGGTTCTCTAATTTACCGTGGCAATACCATAAGAATTCTACACTGGTGTTATCTGTTAGACGACAATCAGCTACCTAAAGACTGCGGGCGGCGTAAATGTATTCTATCGAGTGTTTCCTGACCACAGATAGGAGAACAACAACCCCCAAACCAGGCATTAATTCACAAAATATGCGATCAGCGGTGATATCCTAAGGACGTAATGTTTTTAACCTGGGAGGGGATCTCTTTACACCTAAAAGCTGAAAGCATCGTGACCTGTGATACATACTCGCCCCCAAACAGTGTGACCATTAACATCCTGTAACACCAAAGGCGGCATCTGGTCGTGCGATAAATGGGGATACACCCTCGAAGTCGTGTTGACTGGCATCGGAGATGCTTTCAAACATTTTCTTTACAGAATCGTCCATAAAACCGATTTATCTTCATGCGGTAGGTCTCATAAGTTTTGTTAAACAATCTAGAAAGGAAAAACTGGTTATATACAGCACCGTAGGCAGTGACACTGAAGAAAGTGAGCAGGTATGACAAAGGGCTCTAATATTGATCTTTCTCGAGTGAATAAATGTTTAAAGGAATTCAAGTGAAACCAAAATCCGACAAGAAACCATCCAGAATTGGTTATTGTCTCAGCAGTGGTGTCCGCAAAAGCAAGTACCACATTCAACAAAACTTCACATGTCGTTCACTTCAGTTTCACTTTTTGCAACCACTAACCATGCGAACCATGCTAGCAGCAATGATAATGATCCCCGGAAAATTGAAGACTACCAAAAGAAAATTCACGGGCTTTGGAAGTGTCTATCAGAAAACCTTAGCACAAGTATAATACGCTCCAATACATTTCGTCGCTAGCACAGCATCAAACCTTCCTTCTGCACCATACACACCATCAACCGACGGTTGTAGTGTCCCCTGACCTAAAAGGAGCCTTCGACTCGCTTGACCGAGAGGCGATTATAGGTTCACCCCTTCGCAAAGGAATGTCGCAGAAGTATGTGAACATAATGAGTTCACGCAACTCTCATACATCTGTTAGCGTAAAGGTTTGTGACGAACTGAGTAGGTCCTTCGTAAATAGCAGCGTTGTTCATTCAGGGTGCCCTCTTTCGCCATTCCTGTTTAGTTTCGTCATAGACGAAATAATGGAGACCACACCAAGTGGTCTCCAAAATGTTGGTATTGAATGGGCCGCTGGAGAAAAGCTGTGCGATCTCGAGTACACCGACGACATCGTTTGCCTGTTCGAATGTATGGAGGATGCACAAAGCGCACTTGACAGATTAGCAAGTTCTGTTGCTCCGTTCGACATGCGCTTTGCACTTTCAAATTGCAAAGTAATGCGGCAAAACTGGGTGTCACCGAGTCCCGTTCTGAAACTAAACGGTCAGGAATTGGCTGAAGTTGACTGCTTCTCGTACCTGGGTAGCTGACTGACCAACGACGGTAGCGCATCAAAGATCACCGCCCACAGTTCCAAGCCTCGAGCAGCGTACGCAGGACTAAAACACCTGTGGCGACGACATAACCCAGAAGTAAGTCGTCCGGTGCTTGGGAACGCATCAAGCATGAACTCGCTATCACATCAAATTCAGCTCAGTAGGCTCCGATGTTTAGGACACGTTCTGTGTATGTCTAACGGCCGCCTACCGCACCACGCCTTACTTGTAATAGTCCCTGCAGACTGGAGAAAGCCACGTGGAGGCCAGATGACGTGAAGATGAGACATAAAGAAATGCACCGAGTGATTAGATTAAGTGGGTGACTTAAGTGTTCTGGGTTGGGATCGGGGTTGAAAAGACTCCGTAACCGTATGGAGACATCGACGGGCTTTGCAACCCAACTGACTGATGACAGGTCCGTTGTAACTTGGTAGCAGCACATGATACTTGAGAAGTGTATGCGTAGTTCAATCTTATACTGGGTTCATTATTCAGTTTGTTTGCCCCTCCCTCCCCATCAAAATAACAACCCATGTCCCCCTTAAACACTCTCAGTACTTCATACATACTGTGAAGTTAGCTGTACGATAATGATGTCCAGCTCATCTGGACATGTCCTTTGAACGAGTTCACATCTTTAGGAGGCCCGTTACACGTCGACACAATCAAGCCAGTGACTACTGCCAGAAAACGATGAGGGTCTCTTCTTCGTGAGTGTATAATCGGGGATTTCGATCTATTGCCCGAAATAAACTGCCAGCGATTCACAGACCCGGACGTCGTCTTTTCGTTCTCCTACTTTGGTAGGGAAAGAATTCTGCCACTTGAAAGTAGTGACTTCCTCAGTGGAGGCTATCTGAGACGCCGCATTGAATAACAGCATTCCGAGGTACAAAGGAACGGTAACCAGTCCCAACCTCATACAATGCCTCCGAAAGCCTCAGTATGGTCGGGAGTGGTGTGTAGGGTTTCGGCTGGTCACCCTTCCCCTGCACCTCACGAAATGCTCCCATACGACCAAGCGTCTCAAATAGCCTCTTCTGAGGAAGCCCTGCTCACTGCCTACTCGTGGCGGAAGTGTTTTTCCACCAAAGTGAGAGGAAGAAAAGCCGATATCCGGGGCTATAACCGGGTTGGTGGACCACTGGCAGTTCACCTAGGGGCGTTGGCCAAAATCCCTGACTCCAAACCAACCAAAAGGAAGCGTACGNCCTTTCCGGTTGTGGTAATGGTCACCGGCTCGATTGGTCATCGAGGTGTATTGGGCACCTTGGACGTTTGACCTCGTCCAAATGGCGTATGATCCGTAGACTGGACAGTGGCTCCCAATGGACTGCGGTTTTCACACACCGTGATTTCAGATTCCAAATACAACTAGCTTTGTCCTTATTGGAATTGTGTACTAAGGTTTTTCTTGTTGTGTTCGGTCTATACTTAAGAAAGACACGAGCACTCTTGCTTAACCCCTAACAATGACGCGGAGAGAGAACACAGCTGAAGACAAAGTCAGTGTGTATTCCTTCCGTCTGATTTCGATACGCAAATATCAAGCACAATCACGTATACGAGAAACTCCGCCCGAGGAGTCCCATTCAACATGCGACCTTGGTATATCGATTGATCGATCCAATCGGGCTCAGCCTACCTGGAGTATTGCGAGCGAGCGTGTGGCCTGACTCGA